GCTCAGAAAACCAGCAAATAATTAGCACCACCTTTGTCACCTGATTGGCCCCTGATATCTATAGAAAACTTCAGAGGTAGAAAGGCTTTGCTGGGATGAATGCCACCCAGCTCCTGGAGACTGCTAATCAAGTCTTCATGAACTGAGATTGAGAGGAGAAAAAGGAGGCAGATAGATGGATGAAACAAAAGGCAGCCCTGCTGGCTACTGCCATTAGACAACTGGATGCCCCACCCAATCTCAGAGGGGGGCCAAAATCTGGCCACACCAGACTCAGATCAACCCAATGCACATACTGCAAATAGGATGGACACTGGAAAGGTGAATGCCCCAAGCAGAAGACAAACCAAGGGAGAATGACCAAACATCCACTGAGGTCCTGCAAAACCTTCCACCCAGAACCTCCAAGAGACCTACTGGCCATAATGGAATCAGAATAGGACTGACTAGGCTCTATAATCCCAGTCCTCTGGGAGGCCCTGGTCAATGTAAAAGTAGGGGGCCAGTCAATGACATTCATGGTAGATATTAGAACTTAACACTCCATTGTCACCCAGCCCCTGGTCCCCTGTCAGGCTGAAAAGCCACCATCATGGGGTGGAAGCACTGGAAGCACCAAAACTCAGCCCTTTTTACAGGTGAGAAGCTGCCAGATGGGAGTCACCTGTTTATCCATGAGTCCCTGTACCTGCCTACATGCCCAGTCTCATTGCTGAAAAGAGACCTATTGACTAAATTCAGAGCATAAATGAGCTTTGACCCATCAGGCTCGGCTGTATTGACTGTCAGCCCTGCCAAAATCCCAGCTATAACAATATTCCAAGAAGAAGAATGGTGAATATTTGCCCCCAGGGAAGCACTTACTACCAACTTACAGAATTTTCCAGGTCAGGAAACTGGGTGTACTCTGCTCCAATGTGTTGACAACCTTCTGCTTGCTGGGGCAACTCAAAAAAACTGCTGGAAGGGAACTCAGGAGCTGCTCCAGCTTCTGTCTCAGGCCTGGTACAAAGTGTCAAGGAAAAAAGCCCAACTCTGCCGTCCTCAGGTGCAGTTCCTAAGATTCATTCTGACTAAAGGACACTGTGCTCTGGGGCACAAACACAAACCGGTGGTGTGTGGGCTGTCTCAGTCCACAACCAGGAGACAACTGCACGAGTTCCCGGGAGCAGCAGGATTCTGTAGAATTTAGACTCCAGGCTTTGCTGAGAAGGCTAGACCACTGTATGAACTACTCAGAGACCAGAAGAGGTCCCCATGAACCCATCCAAGAGCAAGCTTTCCACAATCTCAAATCTAGTCTTGGGAAAGCCCTGGCTTTAGGGCTCCCAGACATGACCCAAGAATTCAATCTATTTGTATATAAAAAGTCTGACAGACTAGGAGTTCTGACTCAGTCCATTGGACCTTGGGAGAGACCCATTGCCTACCTGTCTAAGAGACTCGACCTTGTGGCATCCAGATGGTCCCCTTGCCTATGAGCCCTGGCTGCCACTGTTGAATTGATTAAAGAGGCAGACAAATTAACCTTAGGCCAAATTATCAATGCCCGGGTTCCTCATTTGGTAACCACCCTGATGAACACCAGGGGATATAAATGGCTAGCCAGCTAGGATGGCCCACTACCAGGGTTTATTGATTGGAAATCCCCAAATTAGACTCCAGATTCTGCAGACCTTCAACCCTGCTTGCTTCCTCTCAGCCATGCTGGGGCCTCCTGACCACAATTGTGAAGAGGCCCTTGATAAGGTCTTTTCTGGACATTTTGATCTTGTAGACATGCCACTAATGGCCCCCAATCTCACTTTTCTCACTGACAGAAGCAGCTACATGAAGGATGGAATTCGATATGAAGGCTATGCCAAAATGTCTCTAGACACAGTGCTCCATGCTGGGGCACTGCCCCAAAGATGGTCAGCCCAGCGGCCTGAACTCTGGACATTAATTTGAGCCCTAATACTGGTGGCCAATAACAGGGTAAACAACTACACAGACTCTCGATATGCATTTGCTATCCTGCATGCTCATGGAGCTTTACACTGAGAGAGAGGACTCCTCTTGGGAAAACAGTTAAAAACAAAGAGGAAATCTGCCAATTATTAGAAGCAGTCTGGGAGCCAAAGGAAGTAGCAATCATCCATTGTAGGGGACACCAGAGAGGGGAAGACCCCATCACCCTGGGAAACCAGGTGGCAGACCAGACAGCCAAGGCTGCTGCCAACTTGAGCCCTGACTGCTGTAACTAACATGTTGCCACTCACAATCCTCCAAAAAGCCCTCCCACCCTTATACTTCTGACAAGCATGGATGGGCAAAGTCAAAGGGAGCAACCCTGGAAGAAGACACATGATGGAGACTGCCAAATAAAAGAATATACATACCCCAGTCCTTGGGATATTCATTAGTAAGACAGTATCACGGGCTAACTCACTGGGGAAAAACTAATCTGGAGAGCTTACTGGGCTGATACAGTTTCTTGAGTTGCCTAATGTCATTGTGCACAACTGTAAGCATGTGGTGTGAGACCTGTGCCAGAAATAACCCTGCCCAAGGGCCAACTTGGCCAACTGGAATACAAGCCACCGGGACAACTCCACTGGAGTTGCCAGAGGCAAACTTCTCCATGCTGGGGCTATAAGTACTTACTAGTCCTGGTTTGTACTTACTCAGGCTGGATAGAAGCCTTTCCTATGTGAACTGAAAAGGCCAGAGAAGTTACTTAAGCCCTTCTGAAAAAAGTTACACCACAGTTTGGACTTCCCTTATAACTGGGTCAGACAACGGCCCTGCTTTTGTGGCAGAAGTTACACAGGGGGCTGGCAAATTCCTTGGGCATAAAATGGAAACTTCACACTGCTTAACAACCTCAGAGTTCTGGGAGAGTTGAACGAATGAACCATACCCTCAAGTCCACCCTAGCGTAGTTCTGTCAGGACACTGGGCACCCGTGGGTGGATGTCCTACCACTGGCCCTGCTCCAAGTTCAATGTACTCCACATAAACAGGATTATACTCCTTATGAGATTCTGTTTGGCCAGCCACCCCCTTTAGTTACCCAGACCTGAATGACTGATGTCTGTCAACTGGGCGAGGCAGTCCTGACCCAGGATCTAGTGGCCTTGGAAAAGAAAATAGCCCAAATCACCTTAGAAAGAGCCCTCATTCCCCTTGGAAACTGGGTACACAAACATGAACCCAGGGATCTCATGTGGGTTAAAAAATTGGGGAAAAACATCAATACAGCCCATCTGGTTGGGGCCATATGTTGTTGTGTTTGTTACCCCTCCTGCAGTTAAGGTTGCAGGGCTAGCCCCATGGATCCACCACTTGTGAGTGAAGCAAGCCGCAGTATCAGAGGAACCCAGGACCTGGAGGGTGAAAAGCCACCTTGAGCAGCCAACCAAGGTGACCTTCCAGAAGACCAAGGCCTGACATCGAGACTACAGCCACTCCTAGACTGGCTGCTGTATGTGTGGCAGAAGCTTGAGGTGTCTACAGCCCTGCTTTGGTCACTCTGGATGCTGACCAATCTACATGCAACATAAGCTTGAGGACAGCAATGGATGACACCCCCAATAATATCCTTACAACCTCCTGCCTTGAAGCCATCAAATATCAACTGCTTGTCTGCCCCGGGAAGCTATGCTTAAGGCCCTCCTGTTAATTGACCCTACTCGAGTATGGTTGAGGAGGCTCAAGAGGGAGGAATACTATGGAGCAACCCAGAACTTGTGAGCAACCTTGAAGCAACCCAGGGCTGATAGCTGCCTAGGCTTTCTGTTCCCCTGCAAGCTGCCCCTCCCCTGAACGGTTGAGTGGCCAGAGGCCTTGAGCAAGATGAATTCCCTGCTTCTCTGCCTGCTCTATGCTAGAGCAGACAATAAGCACCTTTCCTGATAGGACACTCCAAGTATGCTGAAACTGTCCCTCTCCAATTCACCCGTAAAAGACTGTGTCCAACTTTCAGAGTATTAACTTCCCTGTGGCACCGGTGTAATAAAGAGCTCTCCTTTCTTTCCTGAGTGCCACTTTTTGTTCCTTGGCATCTGTTTCTCTGCCATAACAGTGTTCACAATTGTATTTTTTTATTTTTGTTTTTTAATTTAACAGAGGTTATTGCAGTTGCCAGAAAGAGAGGAAAAGGGAGAAAGCATCCCTCAATGGGAAATGGTTGTCACAATCCTTTTTCTCCTTTCCTCCATTCTGTTGAATTTTGAGGTATGCACACACATGTTCCTGGCATGTTTTTCAAGCTGATGGGACTGGGATTCAAATCATGCAGTCAGTCATATGGAATACAGCTCTCTTAACCACTAGGTCATGTGGCTGGCCCTGTATGTATGTGTATATACATATATATATATATGTGTGTGTGTGTGTCTGTGTATGTGTATTTAATTTATCAGTTTCAATTTCAAACATGGTGTTAACAGACATCATTTACTTGACAAAAAAGCCCCTTGTGGTTCTCAATAATGTTTTTAAGTTAATTAACGGGTTCTGAGACCAAAGTGTTTGAGACGTGCTGCATTAATTGTCCCATTTGCTCTAACACCAATTCAGCTGAGATACCAGAAACAGAGCAAAATGCAGCGTGGCGATTCCTATTAAATTAAAAACTGTGTGAGCCAATCAGTTTGCAAAAGCTGGTATGTAAAAGTAAAATCAATGGAGCACACAGACGGGAAGTATTCTAAAAGTGATGGGATCATATCGAAAGAACAAAGGCACCAACTTGAAGGGACACCTGATTTGTAAGTTTGTGATTAATCAGATGTGTCAATTGCATCTTTTAGAGAGCAGAAGACAGAGAAGTGGAGGGCTTCACACACACACACACACACACACACACACACACACACAAATTACAAGGATTATTATTCATTTCTGCATTTCCCAAGAGAATGTCACAAGCAAAATATTTAGGCTTGACACTTTTAATTGTTCAATATTTTAATACAAATATAAGAAGTAATACAGAATTAAATAACACATGAAAAGTTTTCTAAGTATATAAATATCCAATGTAACAATAAAAACAACCTACTGAGTCACTGATAACAACAGACCAAGCAAAAGATACTGAAAAAACAAAACAAAACAAAACAAAACACTAATTCGGTCTTATAGTTATTTAAGATTCACTATTGTTCCACTAGTTAGAACAATACCTTTAAAACAAGAGGAATGTATGCTCTTACTTGTCTCCCCTGCTACTGAAGGCAGTTCACTCATGGCAAAAGAAGCCAGAGAGACAAAGGATATGAACTTGCTGATTGCTATACAGGAAATATCCTAAATGTCTGTTTTCATAATATATTCATTATACTAGGCTGTATTTGGAACGAACTGGAATAGGACTGGGTCATATCATGAGGACAAGGAAAGCATGCTTTTTAAAAAGTGGTAGCTATTATCTAAGACTAACAATATTTACCTTGCTATAAAAATAGATAAGTTAAATACATAAGTTAAGGTTGTCAATGTTATGCCACAATTCGGTTTTACGTCTGTTGTTGTAAACCTCATAGAAGCACATACAGAACAGCAGTGAAACTCAGGCTTCTAGCAAGGCCAACTATTAGCAAAACAGTAAGCAGGTAGTAGACTATTACCAAATGATGGGAAAACAGACTCATGGACCTAAGAACAAGGGAAGAAGGGATGTACTATCAACAGAAAGGCAAAAGGTAGTCTCAGAAAAGTTCTTTGGACCTTTCTGTATTCTCCTCTTTCTTTTTTACTACTTCTTTTTTTTTTTTTTTCTTTTTTTCTGGAATTACATCAATTTTTAGAGCTGAATGGCAAATTATCTGATCCAACTTCCTTATATTTTAGATGAGGACATGGAAGCTCATTGAGGTAAAGTGACTAACACACACCAATAGGAGCCCAAGTAAGCCTGTGCTCCTGATTCTAAGTCCAGTGACCTTTCAACAGTACAGCACTGTGTTGCTGTACAAACTCAAGTCCTACAACAGACCTGAGAGGTAAAATGACTTCCTCTTGGAACTCACACAAACACTGCGTAGCTTAGATGGCAGTAGAAAGTCCTGGAATCCTTAAGCCTTTGGGTCCCATCTCTTTTGCACTTTTAGATCCCTTGGAGAATGACCTTTTATCCTCTTGCTTTCCTCTTCTGTCAGATTCAAGTAGACCAGGGCATAACTTTCATGGGTCCATGTGACTCCTCTAGGGCTCTGGATAAAAGAGAGACCAAGATACTAACTTTGGACATTTATGTTTCTATCCTAAAGAGATTTTTACGAAGATAAATACCAGAAGTATTAAGAAACACAGAAAGGTCATAGTGTATATTTCATTGGCAAAAATAAGAAAGCATACATTCCCAATTCGATACGGAGTGAAGAGACTACAACTCTCTTTAAAATTTTGGATTAGGTAAGTCCAGAAAAGGTGCTTTGGAGAATCATTTTAGATCATAAGTAAAAGAGCATGCCTCAGAAATTTCAAATTATCTAAGTGTATTTTATATATAAGACCTTGAGTTTTGTTTCCTGTGGATATTAACTTGCTAGACATCAGGTTGGGAATGGTCACAAATAGATAGAGGCCGTTTTAAAAGCCTATTTGCTTTCTGGCACATGGAAAAATGTGGGCCTTCCTACAAGGCATGTAGACATTGAATTAAAAGACATGGAATTTCATCTTGGTCCCACCTCTCATTCTCTGTGCAATGTTAAATAATTCTTTACCAGAACCTGAAAAGTTCTGCATGTTTTAGACCTAATTGCCCTCTCCAACACTAGATATCTGTAGCCCATGGAAGGACCATTTTTTTTTTTTTTACCACAATGTGGCTTCAAATATTTTTAAAATATTTTAAATTTTTAATTAAAAAATTTAAAAATATAATAGAAATAAGTTACTAGAAAAATTAAATGAAATAAGAGACATGTGTAACATAATTCATTTTTAAATTACAGGTATTAGATTCAACGAACATGAAATTCCTCGGCCAAATTGCTATCAGAGTGTCTAAACACTTACTCTGAATTATGTTCTTATTTGGCTTCAGACTAGTAAGGAACAGTTCTTATTTGGCAACTATACTCACACCATACTCTCCCTGCTCTAAAATAACATTTACTTTTCTGCTTTAGAGCTGTTACTTTTTAAATAATTTTGCTAGAAGCTACTTCTTCCATTTTCTCCTTCATGACTGGGTTATGCTCTCCCTTCAGGTCTTTGATGAAACATCATTGTCTAAGAAAAGCCATCCCTACGAATTCCAAATGGAGAGTTACTCATGTTCATTGTATGCTATATACTGTTAATATATCATTTCCTCAGAGGCGGGATCTCACTTGTTGATTAACTTGTTTCTCTGCCCCATGGCCTATAAACCTTAACTGGGCAGCAATGTCCCATTTTGTTCACTACCAATGTAGCCAATACTAAGTACAATGCCAATTAAAACTGAAATAATAAAAATTTGCAAAATAAATGAGTGAACGAACATAATTTTTGTGGATCTTGGTTTTATCATCAGTAAGATGGAAATAGCTATCTTTCACATAGATTGCTGTAAGAATAAAGTGCACTAAACTACTAAAAAGTCTACTTCTTTTGTTCTATGAACATCCATTGAAATACTTAAAAATGCTCTCTATTTTCTTCTTTCGCCCCCCCCCTAAGCACATTCTCACTTAATTTTTCACTTCTGAAATCTCCACACCTTCTCCTTGAGTGGTAAGACTACTAATTTTGAATGATTAATTAGCAATTTTAGAATTTGTAATTTTTAAATATAACCTAACTACTGGCTAGAATCCAGAATAGTAATCCAATTAATATAGCATGGTTTTCTTTAGAGAGCGCTGTTAAGTTGTTTTTTTTTTTAATTTAAACCTGATTGTAAATAACTGCTTGATGTTGCATCCAGTTCAAAAAATTTTCTTTCTCTAAAGTTTCTATATCAAATATCTCCATATTCTAGCTCCTCACCACCACCCCTCAAGCAAAAAGCAACAGACCATGTTTAACTCATGGCCCTTGCTGAAACAAAACCTTTTAAGTGTCTTCCAAACTCCAGAATGTCTAAGAACCACCTAACATATTGGTTAATTTGCACCTAGAAATTCCAATGCAAATTTTTGTGTGGTCTAGGCATATTCTTTTTTGGGGGAGGGACTGGGTCATCTATGAACCAGTGTTATGAGGGAACAGAAACTGTGAGGTCTGTTTAAAACATAACAAAGGGTGAAGAAATTATTTTGTGGAAAGAGGAGAGAACAGCCAAGTCATGATAAGATAGGCGGGACTAGATGAAAAATCCATAAGTCAATGCTACTGAGAAACCTGGGGCAGCTTTGTATCTACCTTTCGCCTTCTGGTAGTTGCCCTGAGACCTAGGAGCTCAGTTTCTTAGAAATCCATTCACACACATCCTTACAGTAACTTCTCACTCTACCCTGACTTGTGCTAACTTCAGTGAGTTCTTCTCACCCTCCCACAAAGAAAAAAAAAAATTAACTGAAACAGTTTAACTTCTTCAAAAAGAATAAAAAGATTACTGACATCAAGATATATTTTCACCATCCCACAAAGAAAAAAAATTAACCGAAACAGTTTAACTTCTTCAAAAAGCAGAAAGATTTCTGACATCAAGAAAGCAAGGTTAGGCATCACAAGTTCATTTCAGTACACCAAGGCTTTTGGTACATGCATTTTCTTTCTTCCTATTCAATTAATTTTCACTCTTAGCTGCTCCCAGAACACACTAACATGACTTGCGCTCCCTTTCAAAGACATCTGTACATGTGTTCTAATGTGGTCACTTCCAGAACCTTTTTCTCAAGGCCTGCCTAACTGCTGTAAACCCATTGTCTTTCCCTCCAATTATCTCTAACATTATCCTTTCTTCAACATTCATACAGTTCATCAAAGTTCACATTGATTAAATCAAAAGATATCTTAGATTTAGTAATACAGGAACTAACGTTATTGGAAACTCACTATGTTGCATTGGTGTGCGGGAGTCTTATTGGTTCATGCTGATGGTTAAATTGTTGGTACGTACATACATACCTATGATAAAGTTTAATGTATAAATTAGGCACAGTAAGAGATTAACAACAGTAAGTAGTAATAAAGCAATCAGAACAATATACTGTAATAGAAGTTATGTGAATGTTCTCTTTCTCTCTCAAAATATTTTAATTAGAACTACTCAAGGTGAAACCACAGAAGCAAAATCATGGTTAAAGGGGCATTACAGTTGAAATTTTCTGTGGTGAGAATATTTACATCACAAAAGTTTGCAAAAAATCTTCACAACACTAGTATGAAATAGTTACAATGGATTATCCCCATTTTACCAAACTAGGAACAAGAGGCCCAGGAAGGTTAAGGGCTTACCCAAAGGCACTTAGCTAAGGAACAGAACTTGATCAAAATCACTGAGTGATTGGTCATAATTACAATAAAAATAATACTTAACTAGAAAACAATTAGTTTTATACATCATTTACAATCATTAAAGACTTTAAAAAGTTCAATTTCGGAAGGCAGAAATATTGTATGAATACAATATTATATTCAATTTCTCAATTATTTTATGCAGCCTTGGTTAAGATGAAAACAATTGCAGTTAGACAGGAGTGACGAGTTCAAGAGATCTACTGCACAGCATGGCTGTACAACACTTGAAAATTACTGAGAGTAGATTTTAAATATTATCACCACAAAAAAATAAGATTGTGAGGAATGTTTGTATTAAATAGCTTGATTTAGACGTTCCTCAATGTAAATAAATATCCACATATCATCTCATACACCATAAATACATATACTTTTTGTCAACCAAAATAAATAAAGAATAAAATATAAATTATAAGTTTATGAAACAAAAAAAACTTAGTGTACATAAGTCCCAAAGTTATATAATGAGAAATATTTAAAGGACTTCAAAATACAAGGCTAGTCCTTTCTCCTTTAGTACACATATAAAAGAATGCACAAACCCCACCATGCTTTGGGCACGAAACAATCATGAAAACTCTATCTAGTTTATTTCTTACAAATGAGTAAGAAGATCTCGTGTGATGGTCTCCCATTCAGAGAAGCTTCCACATTTATTTCTCAAGAAATGTAGGATCTAACATCGAAGATGTGTTTTTTGTAAGATTTATCTTGAATATGTGTATTACAAAGTCTCATTTGTTTAGAGGAAACTATGTTTTCACAAATGATTGTTATAAGAGACTAAATTAATTCATGTAAATTATAGTGAACTCCCTGAGACTTTTATTAATTTAATTTTTCTACTATGTCTAATAAATTTTCTACCTGATAATATTACAGTTAGCCAATACGCTTAGTTGTAGATATATACATACATATTTTTTTTCTTTCAGTTCCATTTAACAAAAGAACTATTAGTGGAAGAATGGCTCCAATGCATATTAGCTACTGGAACCATTTAGGTCTATAAGTAGGGGTTTAAAGGCTTCTATGATATGATATGATACTGGGAGCTCCTAAAAATCTATGATGGTATCATATTGTGACTGCAAATTATAGGACTCGGAAATCTATCTTTTAATGAATTACGGTAAATGGGGAAAGACCATTTGGTTATGCCTAATATCACTATGCATAATAATATAATTTTCCCACTTTGAACTCCAAGGAGTCCAGTGAACTTGCCTATGACTAAGATATTAGAGGAAGTCAGAAAGGCTGTCTTTTCTAAGGAAACGATAGCAAAGAGAAGCAGGAATATATTAAAACTATGATTCCAATGAAAAAATTCTTATGCTTTGTAATATTTCAGCCAGTGATGATCAGAAAAATAGAAAGCAGAAGTAATGCTTTGGCATTGTCATTCTGAGAGACAAATTATTGGGTCATCAGGAAAGTCATGACACATTTGTACATAGAAAAACAGAAAAATAGGTCATGACTCTCCTGACAACCTAATATAACCCTGTAAAATTAAGTCTTGCCTGGTTGGAAGGAGATGGGATATGGGTGAGAAAGCTAAAGAAATGGGTCAGATTCTGACACAGAGTTCCTATGAGCAAAACTGATGCTGTGGAATTATGAAACATCTGCACTGAGAGATCAGTTAGCAGCTGTCCTTTTACCCAACTCTCTCTCACCCTTTCTTTGTATTTGTGGTAGACATACTAATGGTCCTCTAAATGTATCTCCACTCTAATTCCAGAAACCTGAGAATATGTTACCTTACACTGCAAAAGAGATTTTGCTTATGTAATTAAATTAAGAATCCCAAAATGGGGAAATGATTTTGAATTACACAGCTGGGCCCAATGTAATCTCAAGGGTCCTTATAAAAGAATGATGAAGTCAGGAGAGTGGGAGAGAGATTCAATGTGAGAAAGAGACTCAACTGGCCATTGCTGGCTCTGACGATGAAAGGGGGCAAAAAGCAATGAATGTGAGCAGTCTCTAGAAGCTGGGGGAAAAAAAAAATTCTGCTAGAGCCTTTGGAAAGAAGCATACCCCTGCAGATGCCTTGATTCTAGCCTAGTAAGACTCTTGCAGGAGTTCTAACCTCCAGAACTGTAGGATAATAAATTTATGTGTTCTTAAGCCACCAAATTGCTGATAATTTGGTAAGGAAGTAATAGAATATTAATACAACACTTATGACATTCTCCTTCAATTAAGCTGTGTTGAGTACTTTGGTAAAGTGACCCACTATTTTCCCATTTAAGTTGTCTTCTCCTGGTATTGCAGGCTAAAAGCTTGGATTTAAATAGGGCCAAGCTTAGTGATGTAACTATACTGCTGAAGGGCAGGACAACATCAAACAAAACAACTGGCAATAGATACTGGGTAAAATGCTAAAGTAACAGAGATGTTGGCGGACTGTTCAGGTAAAGGGACTTCTCATCCTTCTTGTTTTTCCTGTATTAGCCTAACAGATGACACTAACACTGATGGCTAATCATAAAACAGCCTCATGGCTAAAAGGCCAAGGGAATGAGTGTGCAGTTTGAAGACTGCAATGGCATTCACCTGCTGAGATATCTTGCCTCCTAAGGTATTCTACACACATAGACTTAAACTCCAAAGCCTATGTGGATTTAGGTGTTAAAAAAAAAAAGGGCAAAGAATAGCTTTAGCAAGAATGTCTAGGCTTTATGGCTGGGCAAAACTGAAGCTATGGAATTACAAGTTAGATAAAGACTTTATGGCCAGATTATGCCATCCATTACAGTATGATGGGTGGCATTTGTACCTATGCAAAAAATGCAATTTTTTTTTGCAGAAAAATAGTCTTGGGATGCAAGATATCTCCCTGCAATGCTGACCTAGGTAATTGAATTAAACTTCTCTATTGCTTTTCTCATACAAAGCATATTTTTTTTTTCCTTGGAACTATGAGGATATTGGGACAGGGATGGGGATTACCATTTATCCAGCCTTTGTCTGAGAGGCATAAGTACAATAATTTAGCAGAACCGACATGCTTATTTTGGGGTAAACAAATATTCTTCGTACTGTCCTTCCAACTAATGACAATTTTCCCATCATAAACTGCCTTTTATAAACTTTTGTTGTTTGGCATAGTACTAAGCTTAGACTAGGACAAAGTGACATACTTTTCCTCAGGGAGTACACTTTACTGACATTGTCATTGTTACATTAACAAGGGCCCATTGTTAATGAACAAGTTTAGGTTGTGCAGTGAAGGAAAGCAAGGTAAATACACAGACCATATGGGTAAAAAAAAAAAAAATGCACCTCTACATGAAATAGCTAATGTTTGAAGAAAAAGTGCACTTAGAATATACATTCACGTGATCCTCTCACTTCTACTGTTTTCCAACCTGGCCTTAACTCAACCAAAATAAACCAAACAGCTACCGAAAATAAAGTTATAAGAAGTAGGCATTTATGATGTTATATCTTAAAGTCCCCAAAGTTAAGTTTCTTTTATTGTTTCTAAGAAGCATATAATCATTGGTGGGTTGACTAGTAAGAAATAAGATTATTCTCAACTGCAAATTTCACTTCACTGTCATATTTGTGGCATGGACAATTAATGCATCACTGGGTGTAACAGAAAGAAGTATTATGAGATGGTGGAAAATTTCCCTTGGAAATTTCTTTCTCATTTTCTACTTCAGTAATGAAGGACGGGATTCATTCTTCAAAAGCTTTTTTAGTCTTACTGTGGTAGTCTTTCGGGTAGTAACTTGATGAGATCATCAGGAACAGTTCAGGGAAAGGGCCTGTGATTTATCATCCCTCCCTCTAAGAGCAGCTTTAAGTTGATTAAACAAACAAGCAAACAGGGACCAGCAGTTAGCGTAATGGCTATGTCGTTGAACTCCCATGTAGCCAACCGCAGTTTGAGTCCAGGACCCGGTGGCTTAAATTCACACCAGGTGCGTGTGCGTGCGTGCCTAAGATCCTGAGAGGAGAATGGAGGAGAAGGGATTGCGGTGTGGCCATCCCCCCTGGGGGAGTGATTTCTCGCTTTCTCTCTCTCTGTCTCTGTCTTTCTGGTGAGCTCACACACCCTATAGCAAAAACCTCTCCAAAACGAAACAACAAAAAACATGCTCTCTGGCATTAGACAGAATCACAATAGTAAAAGGGTGTCTAACGTCTGTGTAGAAACATCATCTATCCTTAGACATTATCTCTCTGTGCAGAAACTGCAAATTTGCTTTCACTTTTGTGGGTAACAAACAGTGATTATGATCGATTATGATCGACTCTCTCTCTTTTTTCTTTTCGTCATGTATTTAACAGGTCTGACCTTATGTAACAGATATACCTTACTTAGAGTTTCTTACTGATCACTAGGCAGATCTAAGGGTGATTTTTTTGCTCTCAGTAACTAATTCATCTCTCTCTTTTTATTTATTCCTCTACAAACTGAACTCACACACACATACACATGCACCTACACAGACACATACACTCTTGCATTCCTCATTCTTTATTTCTGTTCACATCATGGATTTTCAAGTCTCCAGGCTCAGAACCCTTGGATGATTTTTGACTGACACTGTTTTCCTGTTCATCCAAAAGTTTTATGTTTTCAGAAAATAACAGAAAGAAAAAGAAAAAGAAAACAAAAATGAGGGTAAAGGAAAATGGAAGGTGGAAGATAAAATTACATGGAGAAAAAAAAAGAAAAAGAAAAAGAAAGAAAATACAAGCAGAAAAGTATGAAGTATTCATAAATTCTGCACCATAAATTCACAATTAGAATTTGTTTAAAAAGAAGCAATTTTGTCTATGATTTTCTTCACTTTCACCCAACTTTTGTATAATTTAAGGTTTCATGTTAATGAATCTGTATTTCCTTAGCCCTGAGCACTTAAACCTCCACCAGAGTGGAGACCTGGTTTTACTAACTGAAAGTATATGGAACCAAATAATCTGGCCATTAAAATACCAGTTAAAATTCAGTTGTTGAAAGTAGAGTTCATAGATAATATCTCTCATGTTCTAGGTATTTTTATTATTATTTTGGATAAGCCTTATAAAAACATCAGAGGATTTTATATATTCCTTTCAAGAGGAATTAATCTAACTTATATTACGAAGACATTATAGATAAATGGTAATTCTAATGCTTAGAAGATTCAACATAGGTTCAGGTATTTATTTCATAAATAAGGAAAAACTCGAGCATATAGAAAAGCTGACACTTTTTCTAAGAGGACTCTTAAAAATGAATACGAATTTTGCTTGCATTTTCTTTCTTCTTTTTCTTTTTTCTTTTTTTTTTTCTCCATGTAATTAGCCACAGGGGATCCAACTACCCCAACTACCAAGCCACCAGCTGGCCCACAGACCTAAGATTTTTTTTTAATTAATGTAATACTTTATCATGAGAAATACAGCAAACAGGTCAGATTCTCTTTTATGAATAAATATTCTCCCTACGTAATAAAGCTATGTTGGAAGTCACAGTTTTACATTTTTACAGATTTTTCTTTTAATTTTCCTGACTGTCAAATGTTTCTGCTTGGACTATCTAAAAAACAGTAACAGAAAGCACAGATTAAAATAAATGCTACTGATAACAATAGCTCTTTCATGTCAGGACTCCAAGGCATCAGCAGTGACTGGACTAACATTCCAGCAGAGATCAGGAGACCTCTAGTCCTAATCTTTTGTTGAGCAGCTGTGTGACCTCAGGGAAGGAGACCAATTTCCCCCTCTGGACCTGTTTCCTAAATACTCTCTCTTTCTCTTTATATATATATATATATA